GGAGGTGCTGCGGGAGTACAAGCTGCCGGACGGGAACATCGTCTGCATCGGGGACCAGCTGTTCCAGGCGCCCGAGGCCCTGTTCGCGCCCGAGCAGCTGGGCGTCCAGAACCCGGGCCTCTCCCGGATGGTCTCCTGCAGCATCGGCAAGTGCGACGCCGACATCCAGGGCCCCCTCTACGGGGAGATCGTGCTGTCGGGGGGCAGCACCCTGTTCCAGGGGCTGGACGACCGGCTCCTGAAGGAGCTGGAGCAGCTGGCCGCCAAGGGGACCCCCATCAAGATCACGGCGCCCCCCGACAGGTGGTTCTCCACGTGGATCGGCGCCTCCATCGTCACCTCCCTGAGCAGCTTCAAGCAGATGTGGGTCACCTCCGCCGACTTCCAGGAGTTCGGGACGTCGGTGGTCCAGAGAAGGTGCTTCTGAGGGGCCCCGCGCACGGGGCGGCCCCCGGGGGGGCGAGCTCGCCCCTCGACATCGGCACGGTGTTCAATAAAAGACGAGACGGTGCAGTCTTTGGCCGCGTCCGTTCATTCCTGGCAGCACCGGCATCATTTCTGACCCCGGGGGCGAATCTCGTTCCAGTGGTCTGCCCCCCGACCCCCTCCCTCTCCGGGGAGAGCCCTGGGGTATGAGTGGAGGCTGTGTCCATCGGCAGAATTTGGACCAAACTCGGGGGGTCTGGACCTCATGCCAGAAGCTCGTGTTGGAAGGGCCCTGGCGTCTGCATCTAAAACAGGTGTCTTAGGTGGGCCCGAGGGTCCGGAAGGGGGTGTGGCGGGAACAAGCAGGGATGCTTGCTGCCCGATCCTGAGGTCCACAAACCCTCGCCCGGGTCGGTGCTGAGCACAGTAGGGCTCGCTCTCTGCTTTTATGGGGCCGGGCAGCTGAGCAGGAGGGACCCCTTCATCTGGGCACCTGGGGACGGGCAGAAGCAGAAACCGCCACCTGTTCAGGACTCTCTCGGGGGCCGCTCCCGGGAGCGTGTGAGGTTCCGCTTCTCTGCTTTGTTTATTGTAGTCTTCCTGTTTGTTTTTCTATTCAAGTGTGTTTTGGGCAGTGTTTAGGGGCAAAATACTGGAGGCAGAGTTAACGGCCATGAATGAAGTAACAGTTGAATAAATATGACGGGGAAAATCCATGTCATGTTTGACGTGGAAGTGAGCATGTGCTGTATTTGAAGGCAGAAGATAGGTGGGTCATTTTCAAATTCATGGTGCCAATCCCTGTCTTTTTCCTCGGTGTATTTAGACAGTTTACGTTTAAAGGAGCTGGAGCAGCTGTCTTTCCCCCTCTGTTTTTTTGTTCCCGTTCCTCTTTTCTTTTCTTTTTTTGTTAGTCCTCACCAGAGGATATTTTCCCATTGATTGTTAGAGAGAGTGGAAGGGAGGAGGAGAGACACACAGAGAGAAACATTGATGTGAGAGAGAGGGGGCCGGGGATTGAGCCCATAAGTGAAGTATATGCCCCTGACCGGAATTGAACCTGGGACCCTTCAGTCTGAGGGTCGACACTCCATGCACTGAGCCAAATCGGCCAGGGCCCCATTCCTCTTGCCTTACTTTCCCATGGGTTACTTAAACATTTTTAAGAATTCTATGTTGCTTTATCTGTGGGTTTTTGTACGATTTCTTAATGATTGTCCTCGTTAATGTTATGACCCACTGGGACCAACATTTCACCACTTGGAGTGAAGTGTAGGAGCCCGACTTCTACTTAATTCCCTTTACCTTCCCAACTTTTTCTAAAAAATAAATTTTATTGATTTTTTTATAGAGAGGAAAGGAGAGGGATAGAGAGTTAGAAACATCGATGAGAGAGAAACATCAATCAGCTGCCTCCTGCACAACCCCTGCTGGGGATGTGTCCGCAACCAAGGTACATGCCCTGGACCGGAATCGAACCTGGGACCCTTCAATACACAGGCCGATGCTCCATCCACTGAGCCAAACCGGTTAGGGCCCTTCCCAACGTTTGAAACAAAACTGTTGTCCATATTTCTTCTGTGTACGTGAGGCACAACCTCAGATGGGGTACCCCTCTTTCCCCCAAACCCATGTTTTTTCGCTCTTCCCGAAGTCCCGTGCCCTTCCCTGTTCTGCTTTAGCTGTGTTATAGCAATAGGTTGCTAAGCAACAGGGTTTCTGTGTTTCTGTCCCCTGATCATGCCCCTATTTCCCCTTCATGCCCAAGGATGTCTCGGCTGGAAGTGAAATCGATGGTTAACTGTGTTCTGGCGGCACTTGGGGAACCTTGTGCCGGGCCCTTCTCCGTGGCCCCCGTGGTTGCAGGTCCGCAAGCACCTGCTATTCGACAGGCGACCCCCTGCAGGTAACGTGTCACTCCCCTCAGGCTCCGTTCTCGAGTGTCTCATTGTCTTCAGAAGCTCCACGATGTGTCGTGGCGTGGATGCTTTTGGTTTGTCCTCTTTGGGGTCCATCCAGCCTCTCGAATCTGTAGATTTATGTCTTTTGCCGAATGTGGGAAGTTTTATGCTATAGTTTCTTCTAACACTTTTTCGGCCCCACTTTTTTCTCTTCTTCTGGGTCTCCGAAGACATGAAAGTCAGCCGCCTCGTCATCGTCCCGCAGGCCCCGGGGGCTCCGCCCGTCATTTGTCAGCCCATTGTCCCTGTGGTCCAGGTTGGGCGAGTCTGTCCTCCATCCCCTCGCTCTACTCTTGAGCCCCTCCAGCTCATTTTCATTGCTGTTGTGTTTTCCGTGTGATCGCTTCCGTCTGGCGCTCGCGTTATAACTGAATTCCTTGCCGAGATGTTCATTGTGCGTGTGTTTCAGGGCACGTGCGGTCGCTTGCTGACACGGCTTTGCGGCGGCTGCCTTACAGCCTCACCCGATCGTGCCCACGTCCGAGACAGCTCGGCCCTTCCACGCTTGTGTCTGGGTTGCCTGCTCTCCTTTAGTTCAGTGTTTCTGTGCTTTGATGGTGCCCGGACGTTTTGAGCGTCTCAAGGCCCCTGTTTAGCTATGTCTGCAGCAGGCGTCCCCCCGTCCAGGTGCAGCACGAGGGCGGGTGGAAGGGCGCGCAGTTTCCCATGGGCCCCGCGGGAACCACCCCAGAAATCGGGGCGCTGAAGCCACGGCCTCGCGGCAGGGAGTGTGGGGGGTTCAGCACCTTGCTTGACTCCAGGGAACCTTCTGGAGGACGCGGTACTGACTCACCGCACCCCTTCTAGTAGGGGGGATGCTCATCGCCCCAGCAGGCCCAGCTGACACCTGGGAAGGGGAGGGCGGGGTGTCGACTAGCCCGTGTGCCCCACCTCCTTCCATCTGCTAATGATAGGCGGGGCTGAAGGCTCAGGCCCCCCCTCCCCCCCGCCGGGCTCACCGACAGCAGGGGAGGGTGAGGAGTGTTGGCTCACACCCCTTGTTCAGGCTCATTGCTGCCAGGCGGGCTCACATCACCCCTGAACCCCATAAACGCCACCCCAGCATGGGAATCGGAGTCACCCACTTCTGTGAGCGGATGCAGCAGGTCCCTACTCGGTCCTATAGCACCACCGCAGGGCGACTGGAGACCACCCCACTCCCCACCCCGTTCCATCCCCCTCCCACTCCCCCCCCATCCCACTCCCATCCCACTCCCATCCCACTCCCCACCCATCCCCATCCTACTCCCACCCCTATC